GAACCCGCCACCTTATGTGTATGTGGCTGGCGCCTTAGCCGATTGAGCCACAGGCGCCGAGCCAAAATAGATAATTTTTAGAAAGCATTTAGGGCTATTAGAATGGCAAGATTATAAGTAATTTTATCTGTATTTTCCAAAATTAAATCAGTATAGGAAAACTTTTCAAAAGTCTTTAAAAATGTATCTGTGAAGCTGAAATAAAACAAACAGGTGCACATAAACACATACAAGACAATTCTCTAAATGTTTCTTGGGTACCTGGGGAGAGTGGTGTAAAGAAGTGTGGGTTAGAGTATGAATGAGGGCAGAGGCGAGAAATAAGAACAGAGAAAGTGCAGGAATGGGAATCTCAGAGTGGCAGGCACATCTCTTCCCCTCCCTGGGGAGGCAGAGGGTGGCTGCAGGTCCTCGTGGGGATCCGTGATTGTGGAAGCCCTATGGCATTGTGCGTGTCTCATGAGGCTAGTTGGGATGGGCTGTGGTGACCGCCCTACCTCATTTCCTTTACACTGTCCCTGGACTGGACAGTGGACGTTCTTGAGGCATATTTGCAGTGGAAGATCTGAGTTTAGAGTGGTGGCAGAAAAGACAACCACGTTTTCTTTTATGCATGCATTTGGTTTCATTGACACGTTAACCACAGGAGAGGGGAAAAGGCCACCAAGTGTGAGGTTAGTATGAACGAGGCAAGGGAACTTTTTGTTAAAGAAAAAAAGCATTGGTACTGCAAAGACTTTCCGTGATCCCACACCAACTCTGAAAGCCCCCTCACACCACCGGAAGCATGGTGACCATCGGAGGATAAAAGAGGCTGGTGAGGAGCTGGGTCCTCACTTCTCGCTGCCCAGCTCACCAGACAGCCATGAGACCCTTCATCCTGGCCTTCCTTGGCATCTGCTGTCTCACTGCACACCTTGTGGAAGGTGAGTGGGGAAGTCGTCTGTGAGATGAGGAATAGGGATATGGGGCAGGTGGGCATACATTTGGGGTTTGACTTAGGTTTTGACTGCAGTGTGCTGCTTTATCAAGGTAAGCCTTGAACTTCTCATGTGAAAAAAAAGAAATGATAATATCAACTCTAGACTCTGTAGACTTCCAAACAGAGAGAACTTAGTTCCTAAGTGGATGATTTTGGATAATGTTTTTAAACCACTGAGAGCCTATGTTTATCTATAAATTGAATATAAAAGACACACTCTTTTATTTTTTATTTATTTTATTTTATTTTTTTATTGAATGGTAACTATGTACATTAATGCACTTCTGGGGTACAGTGTGGGGTTTTCACATGCAATCTGAAATACTTCCATCAAGACACACTCTTTTAAAGTTCATTTTTATTTATTTAATCATATCAGATTTCCTTACCAACAGTAATTTTTTGATTACTATTGGCTATGGTGGGGGTGTAAATGCTTTTGTAGATTTTGCCCATTAAATATAGATCTTGATGATGGGTGGCGCCTGTGGCTCAAAGGAGTAAGTAGCCAGCCCCATATGCTGGAGGTAGTGGGTTCAAACCCAGCCCCAGCCAAAAACTGCCAATATATATAAAACTGCGATATATATATATATATATCGATCGATCTTGATGAATTCTCAAAATCTTTGGGAGTTCAGTCACAATGTGAGGATGTACTGGAGGAGTATGTTTTAAAGAAAATCAAATTTTTCTATTAATAAAACCAAACCAAAATGACTGGAAGTTCACATCTTCATATCCATAAAATCAATATTACCTTTAAGTATGTGGGAGAATCTATTATTACTGTGACAAATGTTACCATCTATGAAACATTTTTTGAATTTGTAAAAGACTATATGATATGAAGTGTGAATGGCTTGTATACAATTAAACAAATCTGCAAGACATATCCAGATGAGATTCAGATATGCCGAGTCCTACGTGAGGGTTCAACAGATTATTTCTTAAAATGACCATGTTTTCCTGGTAGCTGGAATTAATCCATAGACTTATTTGTATCCTAATGTGTAGACTTATTACTTAGACTATCATATCATAATCTGATCATGGAATTCCCAATGGGGGGGTGTCTATGACTAAAGGTGGCAAAGACTGGAAATCCTTGAAATTATGGGCAAAATACAAAATGTCGATGAAACAAAAATGTTTAGGACTATTAAATCAAGTCACATGTTGTGATGTGGTCAGCATTTTACTGAAATGATAGGTGTACTTTTCAGTGGAGACCCAGATCTGGGTAAGGGAAGGATGATATGCTACAGGCTGGGGACGCCTGCAAAATTGTCTGTAAGTCCCACTGTTACTCAGCTTCTTATGTTCAATAATGGGGCAAAACTATCTTTGCTGTGATTCAACTCTGCAAAATAACTACAGGCAACGTTTTAATAAATAACACAGATGTACAACGTTGCTGAGAATAAGAAAAAGGTTTTGTGGTTTAGAGGGCAGAGTAGGATTCTCTGGGGCTTGAGAGGTCCCTGTTAAATACTTTGCAGAAAGAAATAATTGTCTCTTACATTATAAGAGAAGCAGGCTTTCACTGGGCTGGGAGACAGTTCAGTATTAAACAATAAATCGGCAGAGGCAGAGGGTGAAGAGTGAGCAGATTGGCATGGGGAGTGACGGAAAGGAGAGGGAACAGTGAAGGAAAGCAACGTCAGTGAAGACCTTTTGTTTACTTTGTCTTTAAAAAGATGCTATTTGACATCAGCAACACTGTGGATCAAACTCGATCATTATCAGTGGATACTTAAGATGTTTTTTAGCTGCATGTTCTCTGGAAGCAAACACCAGTCTATAAGGCTAAGGAGAAAACCAGCACTTAGAAATGGATGGGGTTTTAACCCAACCCTTCCTAGTATTGACTCCTCCAGCTTGTTTTCCCTTCTACCACAAAAGATGGTTCTTGACACTCAACAGGTCAATGCCCCTTGGCTTGTTGCTATGGAGAAAGAATGCTTTAGGAACTACTTCCTTTATATGTCTTGTAATTTACCACTTCAAATGAGAATGCTTTTATTTATTCAGTCAAAAGCAAGCTGCCCATGGACGGTTGCCTTGCTTCAATTACTCTGTAGCATAATTACTCTTAGTCATCTCACTTTGAGCACAGTAACACTTGTAAATATTTGAAATGATCTTCCAGGCTTGTCTGTTTGTGGCCTGACTCCCTGCCTAGAACACGGGCTCTATGAAAACAGAAACGGAGTCTGTCGGACTGAGCGCCTTAAATACATGGGGCCCAATAGGTGCTCAGTAAAGACCTGCTCTCTACGGGAATGGACGAATGTCCTTGGGCCTGTGCTAGCCATCACCAGTCCCTCCGTGAAAATACACACAGAGATGGATAACACCTTGTTATTTTCTCTCATGAGCGTGAAATTCTTGAAATAATGCTCTTGATTAAATTTTGTAATCAGTCAAACATTTACTAATAATGTATGATGTGCAGGAAACGGAGCATGCCCATGTGAACTGTCTTGTCTCTATTCCTACGCCATTCTCAGAGCAATCGAATAAGAGATTGTTTCCAGGGACTTGATGATTTTTGACTTACAGTTTTATTTTGTCTTTCCCTCACCAGGTGTGGGGAGTGAAATCCCAGAGAAGAGTATCTGTCTGAGTCTAACCACCCGGCAAATTCCCATTAGCAGAATTAAGAAGTACACCATCAAGGAGGGCTCCGTACAGGCCATAATGTGAGTTTGTCTCCTCTAAGGCTGGGCTTGGTGACGTATAGAAATACAGTATATGGAAGTGCTGCCTTCTATATACGAAAAACAGGCCAACATGGAGGAAGACCTTAACCAATATAGCCCCTTTATTTTTCCATATTTATCATGTTTTCCTGAAGCCCCCACCAAATAGTGATTATTGCAAGAATTTCCAAGTCTTTCTTTCTTAGCAGAAGAGTCTAACTGGAAACCAGATGGATACTGTGGCTAATTCTGAGGGCTAGGTTGAGGGATGGCTGGCTCAGACCAGAATTTGCCCACATGGCCACACTGGTGTGGGATACTTGGCGTTCGAGTGGGGCAGAGTGCCAGCCACACATTGTCATAGCTACGTGGCCGTAGCTCAGGGCAATGTGCCAATGTGTAGCCTCCGTGGTGCCATTCTTTTTCCGGGATCTCATTTTTAGATGTAACGGCTCTTCCAACACATAATTGCAAGCTCAACCCAAATAAATTAAAATGAAGAAATCACCTTCTGTCCAAAAAATCAGACAAGTTTGTGGAGGCTTGAAAAGGAAGAAGATATGTAATAATTAAAGTAGATGGCCCCAAATGTCCTGCAGCGATGACACCTAGCAGTACAGAGGGAGAAGAAGCCTGTGGGTTTTGGTGAACAGGGGAGCTAGGTATTCTGTGGATAGTTCTCCCTTTTGTCAAAATAGCAGAAGAAATGTGTTCATTTATGGCCTCTCGATTTTGAAAGACTACTTCATCCAGTAATTCATGCACAAGATGTCTTTACATCTGGTCTGAGCTTAGCTCAGTTCTGAGGCTTTGAGGATGAGGCTAATTTTGTCTCTTTTTCTTATATTACAGTTTAATTACCAAACGTGGCCTAAAATTCTGTGCTGATCCACAAGCCAAGTGGGTGAAATCCGCGATCGAGATCATAGACGGCAAGTCCAAAGCCAAAAGTAACATGCTCCAGACCCAGCCAATAGGACCCCAGCAATCCACAAGGACAGCTGCGACCCTGACTGGGTAGTGGACTTCTGGCACTTTGTCCCTTTGCCAGCTGGCTGGCTCATTTCACTTTACAAGTTCACGGACTAATTAAATTGTACTCACTTTTTATAAAAGTGCTGCTTGAATCAAAATCCTTTCTTGTATTTTTATTTTTTTAAGATCTTTCCTATCCACTTATATGTTTTAATTAATAAATATTTATTATAAAGAGCAGTTACATAGTTTATTCATTATATGGGGAAAGGTAATATATTATTTATGTTCTACTTCTGCCTGTCTCTCCCTTTGATAGTGGGGAGAGACTCTCTCCCTCCCCGTCCCCCCCAGATTTTGGGAGATTTTGGCTGGTATTTATTTATCAGAGATGGGAGCTATACCCATCACTCAGGTTCCAGATTGTAATGGTTCTTTACACGTGAGTCACAAGTCACAACTGTGACAATGACAACAATTCAAGATTTATTTCAACTTGTCTTCATATTAGAGTTCTGTTTCTAGAAAAAGGGAGAAAAGAGTCCCAATGTCCTTGATTTTCCATTCAAGGGTCCATTCCTCAAAAACTTTGGCTTTGCCAAAGTTTGCTCTCAAGCAAATTCTTTTACCTCTCTGGGCTTCATTTCACTCTCTTATTAAAAAAAAAAAAAGACAGGACTTGTCTTTTCAAGTAGTGTCTTTCTTTCATTTATCTGGTTTGCAAAAGTTAGATATTTGGCATAAAAAAACTTTGTTCAAGTAAAAAACCAACATCTTTTGCCTTGGGCAATAATCTCACCACCTTATTGTGATTTCTGTAATTGTTATTACTCTAGTTATCATATAAGTTATGCTTTATTGCCAATAAACTTTTACCTTTTTTTAAAATTCATATTTTTATTTTTTACTTCAGTCTTCTTAATTACACAAGTCAGTAAGCTTTTAATATTTCAAATACTGTCACGTGGAACATTTCTTAATGTGATCATGATTCATAGTAAACTTTTTTTTTATTAAGTCAAATACACAGAGATCATGATCCATTCATGCATATGTGGGGTACAATGTGCTGAATGTTTTTTTATATATAGTCTGACGTGGTTACATTAAACCAATCAACACAGCTTTCACCTCATTTACTTGATTATTGTGCCAAAACATCTATGTTCTACACTTCACAGATTTGACTTGTACCCTTGTCATATGCTCCATAGGTGTGGTCCCACCTTTTACCCTCCCTCTGTGGAACCTTCCCCCGTCCCTTCCCTATTGGGATCTAAAAATTGACCTGCCATTGGATCCTGCAATTCCTCTACTAGGAGTATAGTAAACTTAATAGAATCTTCATCTGGCCGCCCCATACCCCAAACTCATTACATTGATGACTTGTTTGATGCTTTTGGTTCTACCATTATCTACAACAGGATGGTGACATATATCTCCTGCTGGGTCTGACTCTAAGTTGGAACAACCGACCTTATATTAAAAGTTTTAAGTGAAAAATAGTGGCTGTTGTCTAGTCCTGAGGGACCAGTAAGCAAGATCAAGAATTTTCAGAAGGGAGCTGAGGGCAGCTTGTTGAAATCAGCTCATTTCTGGCTCGGAGCCTGTAGCACAGTGGTTAGGGCACCAGCCACATGCACCAAGGCTGGTGAGTTTGAGCCTGGACTGTCATAGCAATGACAACTACAACAACAACAAAATAGCCAGGCATTGTGGCGGGCACTTGTAGTCCCAGCTACTTGGGAGGCTGAGGCAAGAGAATCACTTAAGCCCCAGAGTTTGGGGTTGCTGTGAGCTGTGACGCCACATCACTCTACTGAGGGTGACACAGTGAGACTCTGTCTCAGAAAAAAAAAAAAAAGAAAGAAATCAGCTCATTTCTACTCAAAACAATCACTGACCAGAATGGAAACCATCAAAAAGTTGCCTCCTAGCAAAAGGTGGGCTCATTGCTTTATCTGTCTACAATATTTTTCAAGAATGATCTTAATGACAATAAGCCATTTGTGAGGGGGGAAAAATACCAAGTCACAACCCATGAATGGACTGATTTTCTGATGGAGCCATGTATCCCCGACACTAGGGATTTAATTTGATAATAATTGATAGAATGTGTGGAAGGATACGGTGGTGCTATGAATTAGGGTTTCCCGAATGTCTCCCAGACACTAGAGATTTAAATGTGATAATAATTGATAGGATGTGTGGAAGGATACGGGTGGTGCTTGACCTTTCATTTTGTAAGACTTTTTTTATGGTAAATAATTTTTATTATGTAACCAGGACTGTTTACTTGCTTCACAAGTATTAATTCATTTGATCACATAACAGACCTCAATTAGAGACAAACAACTGGGACATAAAATAGTTAATTAACTTTCTTTAGGTCCCTTGGACAGTGAGGGGTAGAGTTTAGAATTGAACCCATGGAAGCAGGGTTCCAAGTTCAAACTGTTGGCAACTGTGCCATACTGGCTTCTGTTCTTCAGAAGACATTTCCCTCAAGACCAAATGATATGTAAAGAACACACGAAGAGACTAGTCAGGACTACATAACATCCTTACCTATGCTCCCTACTTCATTCATTCATCGTGTGCCAGAAGCTGGAGCTACCATAGTGAGCAGAACCATGTTTAGGTAGAGTTTAGGTAACTTTCTTAGAGGTTAGGTACTGGTAAAATCTCCCCTCTTTCCTTTTCCCCTGAATCTAGAGACTTCCTTTCATCTACTCACTTGACCAGTACAGACTTAGTGTGTGCCCAAGGCACTCCAGGGGCTCTGCTGGGCACTGGAATTCAGAGGTGACATCTTCAGGTGTTTACATCCAGGGAGCTTACACTAGGGGAGACACACAAGTAGGCAGACAACTTCAGCATGATGTAACACATGCAATTGTGGAGAAAGCAGAGGGTATGAGCTCTAGACACTCAGGAGCAACCCTGGCTAGCCCTTAGCATGAACGGAGAGTCAGGACAGGCTTCCCCTTGAAAACAGCCTTTCACCTGAGACCTGCAGGATGAGTCAGAGCCATTCAGAGGGTTTCAGCGCACTCCAAGACCAGGGAAATGCCTGCAGGGGACAGAAATCCTGATGTACCAAGCAAATTTAGTACAAATTTAGTGTGTGGTTTAATAAGACTGAGGGACAGAGCAAAGGTTACCCAGCAAAGGAAGTGGGGGCAAAAGGTGAGGTCGAGACACAGAGAACATATCACTAAGGGCCTCGTCTGCCCGCCCAAAGAGTATGTACTTTGTTTTAGAGGCTACAGGAAATGATAGTGGCTACTGGTTAAAAGATGAAGGGTAGAGATTAAGACAGGAGCCAGGAAGCCAGCCAGGAGGTGGCTGTGGACCTGGCGATGTTTGAACTAGGTCTAGCAGGGTGCAACACATCTTTCATTTTCTGCAGGAACATCTGCCGCTTAGCCAGGGAGCACATCGGTGGTGTGGCTCAGCCACACATAGGCCGAGGACTCCCTTTCCTGATTTTCTTGGCTGCAGGGAGGCAGAACTGGGATAGAAGCAAATATAGGGCTCACCTTATTACTCACATTATTTGTAGCTGATCTTATTTGCTAAGGTTGCTAAGGTTGCATATGGGAAGCAACCTCCCATAGGGTAGGAGGCAGGGTAAGGAGCAATGAACTTGGTGTCAGTGGGGCTCTGGAGAGGCACAGTCCAAGCCCTTTTCTAGTTAATTCAGTGGTCAGAATGTATGTTGAGCACCTGCAGACTACGTGGGTACAGCATCTGGTCTGCTGTCATGAAGCCCATACCAGTCACCAAAGCCATTCCCACTTGGTGTTCCAAATGGGCCAGTTCAGAGCATCCTCTTAGGGACCTTTCTGAGGATCCCAGGTGAGCTCCCTGCCCCGCCCCCATCATGAGTCTGCTCAGCCTCTCGGGTTGCTGCCTCCACTGCTGCTCATATCACCTTCAAATAGCATTTTATTTGTCTTTATTTTCTGTCTTACTTAGCAGTTGGGGGAAGGACTGAAACCTTCATGTCTATGTATTTAGTGCCTGGGACATCCTAGGCTCCCAGGCAACTGTGTTGCTATGCTATGCATGTCTGTCTATTCTGGCAGTGATCATGAAAACGATAGGGATGCAGGAGGGAGGTTATTTAACGTGCACCCTGGGAGCAGTTAGGAAAATCTGAGCAGAAGAGGTGACATAAAGAGCATACTCTAAACCTGAGGAGGAGCTCGCCAGGAGGAGAGGTCAAGGCAGGCACTGCGGCCAGGGGAGCCCCATGGATGAAAGAAAGCATAGGGGCAGGGAAATCAAGGCCAGGGTAGGGAAAGTGCTTGTCTCCAGGCTGGGCGAGCTGTGGACCTCAGAGCTCAGGGAGAGAAGGCAGCCTGAGGCCAGACTGAGAAGGCCTGAGGGTCCAGCCAAAGGGTAGGATTTTAAAGAGAGGGCCCCAGTGAGTGCCCTACTCAGGTGTGAGGAGGAGTGCAGACATGGTGCAGGGTGGTGGCCCTGTAAGGGGGCCACTGTGTTGGCCCAGGTTGGAGGAGAGGCTGGCCAGAGTCAGGGTGTGGTGGTGGGAATAGGGGCCCCAGTGCTGGCCCAGACTGTCACCTGCTGGGTGTGGGAGTGAACTGGTCACAGGCAGCCTGGGAGATTGGTTGGGAAATGGCTCAACTGCTTGGTACAATTTTGGTTTTGTTTCCAGTGTGGTTGCTAATAAATCCCGAAAAAAATAACAAGCACCAAGGAGAGGGAGGTGAGAAGGAAGAACCTAGAAAAATGAGCAACTGGTGATCAGTCTTAGCACTCAAGTAATGCAGACAAAAGCCCAAACTGCGTTTTTATTACCTCTGACAGACAGTCTTTTATAAGAATAAGGTAAAAATAAAACAATATCTGTGAAACTCTCTGTGCCCCTTAAAGGGGGGGTGGGGGAAGGTACATATAAACGGAATAAAGTATCCACCGGGTGAGTCACCAGTGTTATTTTAAAAGGGATTTGTCACCCGGTAGTGGGAGGCAAAGAGGAGCCGAGAGATAAATCTGTAGTGAGAGGAGAAGAGAAATGAAGGGAAAGGAAAGAGTCCAAGCATGACCGAAAGGTGGGGTTTGACGAGAGCGGGTGAGGAAGGGGCCAGAGGGAGCTTTTTTTTCCTTTCCTTGGGAGGAGCTAGGAATATTGGGAAAGACTGCCTATGGGGGAAGAAGGGCC